CTGTTATTCTCTTCAATCATGAGAGGCCTCACCACAGGGCCTTTGCATAGGTTCTTCCTGCATCTAGAATGTTCTTCCTTGTCTTCAGTGTGTTCACTTGCACTAATGCTTCAGATTTCACCCATCTCATTGCCTTCTGATGCCTTCCTGCTCTCTCACTAGGTCAGATCCCCATGGCATGCTGCCCTCCACAAATCCTTGGGGTTGGGGGCCAGCTTTATCTATCGTGCGGTGTATGGACTGCAGCAGACCCTGGCTAAGGGCTAAATGAAGGAGGGAAGCTGGTGCTTCCGGATTACAACCTGATGCTTTTGCTGCATTGTGGACACTTTGGGGCCCAGTCAAATAGGTCCTTAGCAAGTTAGCTAAGGAAGGGGGACTCTCCCGAGCCTTTTCCTCTCCCTAAGAGCTCCCATGGACTCCAGGCCACCAGAGCCTCTCTCTCACTGATGAGAAGGGACCTGCAGCAGGGGGAAAGGTGCTCCCTGGGTACGTGAGAAACAATTGTTGGGGCTTTCAAGACTACCAACAACTGTGGCTTCTGGACCAGGGTCTTGGCTGACCAGGGTAGAGGGAAAAAGAACTGCACAGCATCAAGCTTCTGCAACTCAAATGTCACCTTCCTGGAAACATTTCTTTATTTCCCTATTACACTCATCCTCTCCTTCGATGGGCTTTAATGATTTGTGACTACAGGTTTTTGTTTGTGTAGTGTGATTTGTTGTCCATTTTCTTTCCTCCACTACACTGGAAACTTCAGAGTTTGGGGATGGTGTCTGCTTGTTCATTCTCACAGGCATGTTAGCACAGTGCCTGACTTACAGTAGATGCTCAATAAAAGCTCAATGAGTGAGTCTAAGAACAACCTACTGAAGGTTGGCAAGGCCAGCAAGGAAAAAGGAAACAGCTGGGGTCAAAGCAGGGGCAATGGCAGCCCCAGACTTTTCTGGCTGCCTTTTAGGGGCCTTCTAGGAAGTGCTTTGCATTCCTGATGCTGCAGACAAGCCTGTGCATGCCTACGAGCTGGAATCTGCCTGGACTCAAGGCTTCTGGATTCTTATTGTAGCTAGGGCTTGGCCCCCTGAAGAAAAAGCAGAATGGAAGATGCAAAACTCACCATCTTAGCGTGTAGGCAAACATAGAAAGGGAGCAAGCCCAAGCCCTGCTTCCCTCCCTGGACTGCCTCTACCCTGCTCCTGGCAGGCTGGCCCAGATCCCACTCACGCCCCCCACACCAACTGAAGTTCATCCTCCTCCCCGCCCCCATAGGGGGTTCCTGTCTCAGCAGGCATTTATAAAAGAATGAAATGAACAGCTGGGGCAGACAGGGTAGAAGGGGTAGTGGGGGAGGGCAGCTATCAAAGGCTCTAAGTATGAGGGGAGGGAGAAGGAGGCGCCTGGGTGCTGGCTTGCTCACAAATGCCAAGAGGCACAGGGATGTGTGTGTGTGTGTGTGTGTGTGTGTGTGTGTGTGTGTGTGTGTGTGTTTGTTCTAGTTACATTTCTAAAGCTATGATAAACTACTCTGCTAGAAAACAAGTTAGGGGAGGAAGGGTGAGAGAAACAGACTCTGAGAAGCAGAATAGACAGAGACTGAATGACACAGTGAGCCTTAGAAAGGAACAGGGAAGCAGAAAGAGAGAAAAAGAGGAATTTGGAGCATGGATAGAAGACCACAGTGACACAGGAAAATGACTGGAACAGGAGACAAAACAAAAGAGGACAAGTAAAGGGACACAGAGGAAGGAAAAACAGTCCAGTTTGGCACTAGGAAGAGTTGAATGTCTTCCTTCCTTCCACTTTTATTGAGCACCAGCCACGGCAGGCACAGTACAGGAGAGTTGCCAACTACTGCAAGGTGACACAGGTGTCAGGGATGGAGAGAGGGAGAGGCAGACAGACTTTGGGGAGGATGCTGAGGTAAGAAAGTGGGGGAGATGCAGGCTGGAGAAAGGGGAGGCAGAGTCAAAATCTGGTAAGCAGACAGGGCGGGACCTGTGGGGTCAGGGGGCAGCTGGAGAAGCAGGGTGAGGGAGCCCTGCCTTAGTCCTCCCTAGAGCAGCTTTCTATTTCTCATGTTGTCATGAGAATGTATCATTTTATAAGCAGTGCACCTCCAGCTGTGCTGTTTCCTTTTCCCACCAGAGAGCATGCTCTCTCTGTCTGTCTCTCTGTCTGTGTCTCTGTCTGTGTGTGTGTCTCTCTGTCCCTCCCCTCCCCTCCCTTCCTCTCCCTCCCTCCCATCCCCTCCCTCCCTTCCTCTCCCTCTCTCTCCCCCCCCTCTCTCCTCTCTCCTCTCTCTCTCCTCTCCATTTTCTTTCCTCCATGGTGCAGGGAAGGTTCTGAAAAGCACTTTTTTCCTGCC